AGTATGGACATTGAAAAGCAGTCACAGGGCCTCACTGTGCAGCATGAAGCGATAGTGATCTTCTTGTTTATAGCCTCCCCAGTGCTGGGATTGCAGGCGAACAGTATAATGCCTGGACTCTGGCCATCTCAGCCCACCCTGGAGGTGGGGCTAACACAGCATGTGGTACATGCGGACTGAACCGTGGTCCCTGTGCTTACCGAAGCAGACACTTTAGTCGGCTAAGCTATCTTGCTGGCCCCGGTAATATTTTTGAAAGGAGAAATTACCTTACAGAAAACAGTGCCTCAGATCTTTATGTAGTGTACATATATAAATATGAGTGCACTTCTCTAAGTATATATAAGGTATGAAAATAAATAAGGCACAAATATAGTCATGTATGTATTTATTTTATGCAAAAATGGTGGTCACCTCTAGGTCAGAATACATCTGCTGGGGTAGGGACCGGAGAGGACTATCACTTTGTTTTTTAAATTATAAAATATCCTGTATAAAAAGAAAATATTTAAAGTGAACAAAGTTATACATGTTTAAAAAAATGTAAACTATCTAAATAAGCAGTCATCCCAATAATACTCAGTTAAAAGTTCATTTTTCACCAATTGGAGCTCCTGCTATTTTCATATGCCATTGAGACTATTGATGACACTTTTCCGTTCTATGGGACTATCATGTACAAACACTAAACTTTTAGTTCACTCAGCAATATATCAATGTCAGACCCTCAAAACTGTATCATTGTCTATTTGGATGTGTAAGTTAAATTTATAGATATAGAACTGCTGTTGCTAAGGAAGATTCAGAGTATGTGTTAGTGTCTGGTAAGGCTGGCCCCCTCTCATTTGTTGGCATGGATGGATAATTTTTCTCTCAAATGAAAAAAATTTTTATTGGATAGCATTAAAATTACAAATTAACCTAAGGGGAAAACCATGTTTCGATGTTACATCTTCCTAAGAATATGTATTTTCACATGTTTGAATCTATTTTTCTTTCAAGAGTTTTATTCTTTTTTTAAAAAGTATCTTCTCATATATTTAGATATGCCTTAGTACATCTATACCTTAACTCTATTTTTTTTTTTTTTTTACAGAGGGTTTTTTTCTTGAAGTATATCTTTTAATTATTTTAGTCTTTTAGCAGAAAGACAATTTTTACTAAATATTTTATTGAAGTGTAATTATAGAAGAATGCACAAATCATAAGTGTACAGCTTGATGAATATTCATATAATGAATGCACTTACATAGCCAGCACCTGGATCATGAAACAGAACATTACCAGCACCAGAGTCCCCTTGTACTGTTTTCCAGAGCCAAAGAAGCTAAGTTAAAGAATAACATATATAATGTACACTTACATGAATTTCAAAAACAGGTAAAACTGATAAATATTAAGTCATAACAGCACTTGCCTTTGGGAAGGTAGGTGAATGAAAAAGGATGATTTCTGACAGCTTACATGAGGTCTGCCTGCCCAGTACTGTATTTCCACTAAGCAGAATCAGAATGTGTACCCTTATTTGGGGATGACTACTGACACTTATACGAACTGTATTCAATTCATACTTAACTAAATTTTTAAAAATAATTTTTCAACAACCCCTCTGAGCTTTCCAGAAATATATCTACAGATAGTTTTTCTTAAGTCTTGTCTTGGTTTTGTCTAATCTCCTTGGCTAAAATTCCCAACACAATATTAAACAGTGGAGGACACAGTAGGCTTGTTGCTCCTGACTTTAGTTGAAAAGGCTTTTGTTTCAATACTAAGATGCTGGCCTTTAGGCAGAGGTATAATGTTAATAAGCTACTCATCAATTTCTACTTACTGATATATTTAATAAGTCCTTAATTGTATCGAATGTCTTTTGTGCAAAGATAATCATACATTTAAAATTTCCAATATGTATATTAAGAGATCATCTAACATCAAATTACCCTTGCATTCCTATAATAAAACAATTTAGCTATAATTTATTTCCTTTTGAAAGTGCTACTGGATTATTTGCTAATAAATCGTAAAAACTTTTTTGACTGGCCTATAATTTCTTTTGGTATGATCTTTGTCAGATTTTTCAGTCAATGCCATTACACTCATTTACAAAAATGAATTTGGAAATTCTTTTTTTCCTTGGCAATTTAAGGCTCCAGATTTTTTCTAGTCTCTGGAATCGTTTGAACAACAGTAGGATTATTTAATCATAAAATTTTGCTAGATTGGGGCCAGGGAGATAGTTCAGTAGAATCAGCGCTTGTCTGGCAAATTAAAGGGCCTGAGTTCAATCCCCAGTTCTGAAAAAAAAAAAAA